TCAATTTGGTCCCAGCCCTCCTGGAATTCATAGCCTATTAGGAGAAAATGAGTCATTCAAAGACTGTGAACTGTTCTCAGTGTATTGCCAAAGGGGTACCCAGAGCCTGCTGTAAACAGTCTTAGGGTTTTTTTTTTTTTTTTTGGCATTCATGAGGTGGGTTGAGCAAATGGAGAGCATGACCCTTGTTTTCCAGCTGCGTTGTTGATGCTGTTCTGCAGATTGAAGCCAGGCGTGGACTTGGTTGTGGACAGTTGAACCTGAGGGCAGGGCAGCATTGGTGGTCTGGCTGGCTCTGATTAGGATTCTTCTCCTCCTCCTTCCTGGGGAAGGAGTCGGATGGCACAGCCAAATGGCAATTAAAGGAAAATGTGGAGCATCCTGTCTTTGGTGTAAGCTTTTTCTTTGCCTAAGCTTAGACCCTTGGTTCCATCTTGCAAAAGGAGACAGTAAAACATGTGAACAGAGTTGAGATTGTTTTAGACAAATCTGCTTCTTAATGACACATTGATATTAATCTTGCAGCTACTTAACCCTGATTAAAAAAGAAAACCTGTTTGCTAATGCTGTGTTACTAGTGAACATAAGTACTGGAGATTAGCTCTTGTTCTATTATAATTTGGCAATAAAAAAACATGTTTATCAAGTTTTGTAAGTCTGATTTAGAGGCGTAATCCTTCCTTTTGGGTGGGCCTCTAAGGCAAGATTAATAGGCCTTGAACACAGAATAGCTAGAGTTACTGATACCATTATCTGCTGAAGGTTGCTATAGCAATGAGTGGTTTAATTGCACTATGCAATTGGTGGTTCTTGGGTTGGTGTAAACGGATCCCACTAATTTAGCAGAAACTCTCCTGGAGTAATTTAATTAAACTCTGGTAAAATGAGTGCTAAATTTGAAATCTCTAAGATATGGTTCTGCTTAGTCCTAGATTAATTAAAAATATATTATTATCCTGAATCTGCACATTGCCACAAAGGTTTGTAAGTTATTTTAAAAATGAAGTCTACTTTCTGTGAAAATTTATTGGCTTTAATATAGTTTGTAGCAGTTGCTTTAAAATAAAAAATATTGCAGTTGATGATAAGAAAAAAAATGTAGGCATGGCAATGTCTAGTGATCAGCACAGCAACCTTTAGGGGCAGGAGAGGGGAGGAAACTGAACCTAAGCTACTGGGTGTGAACATGTCATCTTTTTCATAAACAAGCTGGAATAAATGGGTACCATTCTGAATAAATGCTATCTGTATGGACTTTTTTCAGAAATGAAGTATAATGATCATTTAGGAGCTTATGGTATGAGATAGCTTTAAAGAAATATCCTATAATGGGGGTTGAGATTGTAGCTCAGTGGTAGGGTGCTTGCTCAGCATGTGTGAGGCACTAGGTTTGATCCTCAGCACCACATAAGAATAAATAAATTTAAAAAATAAGTGCATTGTGAAAAAAAAATCTTAAAGAAAAGAAATATCCTATAATGGGCAAAATAAAAGTGTGACTCTCAATGTCTAATGCAGATGTATCTGTTGAAACTTTGGTTCTGGTTATCCTTCCCTCCTTCTTTTTAACACCTTGGAGTTAATCTCCACTTACTCCAATTTTTACAATGTGAATATATGAGTTTCAACACCAAACCTCTGCTATGGGCCTAAAATATGGTGAATGCCATTCTAGGCGATTCACATTAGTATTCTGCATCTGTTCAGCGGGACAAAAAACATTAAACTTGCATTTTGGATTTTGGCATGTACAAGGAGGCTTTTAAAAAGTGAAGAAGTTGGCCCATTTAGATAGTCATATCCTTGGCAATGTCGTTTACGCAGATGTTACTCTGCTGCCACCTGGAGGCCTTGTGTGGGATGTGCCTCTAAAAGCTGGCAGGGATGCTGGGTAACATGAACTGTCCAGGCTGGGTGTCAGCCACAGCCCTATCCCTGGGACTCCCTCCCTGTTGAGAATTGTTCTCATAGCCATAGAATATCGGGGTTATTACATCTTTATCATGGAAGCTAATATACAGTATGAATTCAAGAGTGATATGCTGTTTTGTAGTGTAATTGTAGTATTCTTTTTTTTTAATTTTTAAAATTTGTTTTAATTAGTTATACATGACAGTAGAATGCATTTATACACTTTGATGTATCATACATAGATGGGATATACTTTCTCATTTTTCTGAGTGTACATGTTATAAAATTATATTGGTCATGCATTCACATATATACATAAAGTAATAATGTCTGTTTCATTCTACTACATTTCCTATCCCCACACCCCTCTCCGCCCCTCCCATCACTTCCTTCTACCTAATGTAAGGTAATTCTATTTTTCTCTAGTGCCCCCCACCCCCTTTTGTGAATTAGCATCCGAATATTAGAGAAAACATTTGTCCTTTGGTTTTGTGGGATTGGCTTATTTCTCTTAGCATGATATTATCCAACTCCAACCATTTCTTGGCAAATGCCATAATTTTACTCTTCTTTAAAGCTGAGTAATATTTCATTGAGTATATATAGCACATTTTTTTTTTTATCCATGCATCTACTGAGGGACACCTAGGTTGTTCCATGGTCTAGCTACTGTGAATTGAGCTGCTATAAACATTGATGTGGCTGTGTCACTATAATATGCTGATTTTAAGTCCTTTGGGTATAAACCAAAGAGTGGGATAGCTGGGTCAAATGGTGATTCCATTCCCAATTTTCTGAGAATCTCTTGATATAAAACAAATTAAAAATTTTTGTTAAGCATTCTCACCACTAAGCTATATCTCCCGACCATTTTTATTTTTTATTTTGAAACAGAATCTTGCTAATTTGCCCAGACTGTCCTCAAAATTGTGACCTTCCTGCCTCAGCCTCCCAAATAACTGTGATTACAGGCATGCATCAGCACGTCCAGCTGTTAAGCAGACTTAAAAACAAACAAACAAAAAAAAAAACCAACAAAAAAAAATATGATAAGTGGAATTGTAGCTTTCTGCTCCATCCTGTCTCATTAAGTAATGAGTAACTCCACCTTTGTCATTTATGACCCTTGTTATTTATGACTTGTCATGGAGAGCCATGTAAATGAAGCCCTATATCCCTTTTCTAAACAGAATGGATGGAAACTCCTGGCTGTAGGAAGAGCTTGAGTAAATCTACTTGGAGGTTTGAGGCATTAGGGAACTGAAATCAGTAGGAGTAGTAGAGTTGGGAAAGTCTAGTTAGTACATTTTCTAGGAAAACTGTTGGTATTTCATCAGGACTTGCATCTTGTAGGACCTTGGTGACCAGAAGGTGAGATTCCAGAGAAGAGCCTCAGGCTCCACAGTGTTGTGTATTTATACCAATTCAGATCGAAGGTTTTCAGCCATCTGCCCCTGCTAGGGATGTCAACACTTATTTTCCCCACAACAAAACCTGCTCCCAGGGGTTATTTCGACAGTAGTGGCTCTTGTTTCCAGGCAACTGAGTATTTGGGAAGAGAACCAACCAGTCAAGCCACAGAGAGAAAAGTCCCCTTAAATGGACCGTCCTGTTCATCCCAGAACATCCTGACCACCACGGTTTCCAGGAAAACCTTTACAGAGAGAGGACTCCTGGGGTGCCTAGGACTGGACACTGCTCAGCTCAGCTCAGGGTGGCCCCGGCGTCTGGCTGAGGCTGGAGCTGGGGGCTGCACTGGAGTGTTCTACTCTCAGCACTGAGCCATGAAAAGCCAGACCTCTTCTAGAATGAATTATGCTCTTTTGAAAGCTCTCCTGAGACATTGAAATCTGTGGTGTTTGAGGAAATAGATGAGTGGGATTTCCTCAGGTGGGTACAAGTCACATCCTTAGTCTGTGGTATTTTTTGGAGGGGGATGCTGGGGATTGAACGCAGGGCATTCGACCACTGAGCCACATCCTCAGGCCTATTTTATATTTTATTTAGAGACAGGGTCTCATTGAGTTGCTTAGCATTTCTCTGTTACTGAGGCTGGCATTCAATTTGCTATCCTCCTGTCTCAGCCTCCCGAGCTGCTGGCTTTACATGTGCGAGCCACCCGCCTGGCAATCTGGGCTATTTTGAAGAGCCTTTGGTAGTGAGCAGCCTTCCTCAGGCACCAAAGGCATTTATTTATTTAATGATCCTTCTTTCCTCCCAGGATTTCCTGTGAGAGCTCCTGGGATTGTTTACATTTTGATCTGCACAAATACCAGAGAGTGAGTAGTCAGGTGATAGGATAGTCTACTCTGGGGAGAGAGGATTTTAAAGAAGCTTTATCTAAAAAACAAACAAACAAACAAACAAACAAACAAACTTAGCTAGCACTACAGACAGCTCCTGGCACTCATTTATTATATTTGTTATCTAGTTTATTTTTTTCTTTCTTCTTTTTTTTTTTAACCAACAAGTTCTAATCAGCAGATCTTGATGAGAATTATTCCTTTTGCAGAGATTAAGAATGTGGGTTCCAGCAGATCGCCAACTGAAAAGGAGGATGTAAAGGTAATGAATGATTCCCTGCTTCACTTTTTTTTTGTACATCTATCCAGAGTTAAAATGGAATGAATATCTAGTTGTCATAAAAATAGAAATAAATTCAACAAATAGGCATGTGCCTAAAGCCACTTTTAGAATAATTTGAAATCCAGTTTCCTTTATCAGATTCTCAATCTCTACCCTTTATGACTAAACTTTGCTATCTTCTGGGTTTTTGTAAATGCAAGATGATTGAATTCATTTTCCAAAACAAATTTTACTTAAAGTTTGATATATACGGCTATAGGCCAATAATAAGTTTTACCTATGGACAGTTTTCAAGTGTATTTCTTCTTAGGGCAGATCTCTTTTTTATTTTTAGTTCTTAAATAATATTAATTATGAACAGGACTAGTTTTCTGTTTACATGATGCGATTCATGTGGCCATGTTTTTACTGATGCTTCCCGAGATTGTTTTTCTAGTTTGCAAAAATAAAAAAAAACATTAAGTATAGCATTATATAATAATAATAATAATAAATACCTCATTGACTTTATCTTTCTTAGTGTGTCAAAAGCCTGGAGGTTCAACCGAGTGAACATGAGGACCAGGAGAACCTAGATTTGGGTATGTTCCAAAATATTGCTTTTCCTGCACTTATGAGGATATCACAGACCAGGTATACTGTGGACAAGAAGAAAATATTCCTTCCTGGAAACCTTGTCTACTTTTTAAAACCTATCCAGGCAAAGTTTCTTTGAAGCATCAGTCATAATATTATGACTTTAGGGACAGGATTCCATTTAAAATCTAAAAAAACAACCAAGTCATCAGAGCTTTTTCTTGCCAAATGCTGGCTTGAAGTTTGTCATGGTTACCTTGTAATTCCTATGAAGAGGCACTGCCAGATTCATTTCAGGAAAGCAACTGAGCCACTGGTGGAAGGTGAACAGTGGAATTGAAACTGGGAACGTCATTCTGCCGGGCCCAAGCGTTCTCAAGTGTACCGCTGTCCTACACTGATAACCACGTGTCTCTGTGGAGCTGAACCTATGAGATCTACCCGTCTGGCCTCAGGAAAAGGCCAGATGTGTGCTGGGAGGGGGGTGCGGCTGATGGGAGTGTCCTTTTGGAGGGATCAAGAACTCCCTCAGCAGGATGGACGTCACTCTTCACTCTTTCTGTAGACCTGAGAATTCTCATCTGCTCAAAAGGTCCTAGGGCACCTTTCTAAATTTCCTCCCCATGTATTTTATATCTCTTCAAGGTTCACTTGGGCCCCAGACTTATCCCTTGAGTTATTTAGAGGCAAGTAGAGTGTAATATGAAGCTACTGGAGACATGGCTTGGACAACCAGCAGATACCAGTTATGGCTCCTGGATGGTCCAGTGGGATGCAGATGTGCACTCACCTTCCCAGTTGGTTTCTTCAGGTTTACTGAAGCCAAGGCAGCTCTCACACCTGGAAAGCACATGTGGGAAGAGTGGTCTTAGAAGGTGGGAGTGAAGAGGAGCTGATGGTGGCTGAGGGCTCAGGTTGATGTGAGATCAGGGAAAACTGAGCCAATCCCTGGTGGGAGTCAGATAGTGAAGGTGTGTGACCTACGGAGCTCACCAGAGTTTAGGGGAGTGTGGCTGGCACATTTGGCAGACACACAAGGGAGCAGTTACAATAGTTGGGAAATCATGTCACACAGAGGAAGAGCCCGCAGTGTCCGTTGACTGTGCTGCCTGTACTTGGCCACAAGCCAGAGGTGGTTTGCTGGATCTCCCTTCCTGAGATTGGAATAGAAATTGGAATAGAAACTTAGGTCTGCACTAAGCCATAAGCATGCCTGTAATATTTCTGCTACATAAGGTGAGGGGTAATCATTTTCTTCCAGAAGAGAGGAAGAGGAAGGAGAAAGGAAAGCAAACACCTCCCACAGATGATTGTTGTGGGCCCCTGAAGCCGGGTGCATAGCTGTTACTCACGCATACAGGATGTCTCATCTATAAATTGCATCATTCTCCCAGGAATGTCAGCTTTGAAGAATGTTTACCAAGACAAATTGCTGGGGGAGGGGAAGGGCTGGCTGCTAAAAGTATTAAATAGTCGGATTATTTTAATCTTAGATTTCAAAAAAAAAAAAGCACTCCAATCTCCAGCTGGTGTCCTTGCTGGGTAAGAAGACTTGTGCTATGGAAACCGTAGTAACCCAATCTAATCTTAGTGCTTTGTCAGCATCATCACTGTGACTGGAGAGTGGTGTTAGGAAGGCCTTGGGACACAAATGCGCAGGACTTTCATCCAGTGATTTATGAAAGGGCCAGGGGTGAGCTTTTTGCTTCTAGCATTTGCTTTGTTGTTCATATAAATATCTTGGATTCAGGAAGGCTCCTTGACTTCATGCAAAGAAAATGATAATAGATTTTAAAGGAACCTTCTGAGACAGGGAAGCAGGCATTGAGCAGTGAGTAAGAGTCAGATGCTAACCCAGAGGCTGGGAAAATAGCTCTCCCCAAAGGCCACTTCAAAACACCTGAATTCTCTCTGTGCTTGTATTCTACCCAGTCTCTGAGGAACTCCTGATAAAATATGTATGTGGACGAGAGGTGCAAGTCTTTGACAACTTGTATTATTCAGTACTGTGGGATGGAGAGTTGTGTGATGTAAATGGCATGGGAGCTGTTTCATGAGACCTTTCTGTGTTGATGGATGTGTTCTCCATCTGTGTTGTCCAGAGTCAGAGCCAGTAGCTACCTGTGCATGCAATGTATGACCAGTGCCAGCCACCAAGGAACTGAATACTTTAATTAACTTTATTATATTGGACAGGATAATCCATAGAAAGTTTGTTTATGTAATTCTAATTGATCCCTAAGAGCATCAAGAATCACACTGGCTCTTAGTTTATTCAAAAATGATTGGGTTGGAGGAATGATGTCGTGGGTGGTAAGCTGTCTGGGAAGCTCATCCAAGCCAGTGCCCCAGACCCCCTCAGCAAATAGTTGATAGTAATCCCACTCTCTGCGGATGGTGTAGGCCTGGTGTTTTGCTCCAAGGGGAGAATCTGCAGTGGAAGGGATGGGATCTGATCCTGTTGCCGTCACAGTGGAGAATGATACTCCATGCTCTGGGCAGCTAGCACGGGGAGACAGGGAACAAAGCATTCAAGGTCATGGAAGAAAAGGAGATGGAAGACAGAACATGGGTGAATGCTGAAGGTGAGAAGGAAGAGAAGGTTCATTTGGCTCGAGTCAGAGGGTCTAAATGTGATTTAGAAATCGGATCAACACTAAAAGCAAAGCCAAAATTGATAGTGGGCAACAGCAATTGCTGTACCAAGAAGGTGGGAAGTGACCGTCCAGAGGGTGCAAGTGGACAGCTTGTGGAACAGCAGTGGGCAGGGGGTGGGGTGATGCTTACCTGCAGTACTGGAATCCCAACTCCAAGCAGGGATGCAGGAACCCTCCGTATCAGCAAAGCTTCAGGCAGCTTGATCAGTCACTGTCTTGCAAATTCCTTTTAAAAGGTTGAATCTGAAAAAAGGAAACTTTGGCTTTGGTTGGAATTTTAAGATTTTCAGTTAAAAGTTCCTCCTTGTGAAGCCACAGTGTCTCAGGCGAATTTCAGAAGCTTCTGGAAGGTGATGGTTTTATTCTTTCGGCAAGGTCTATTCCAGAGCGTGAGTGAGATTGTGAGTGACAGACCAGATGTAGTGACACTCACACTGAAGCCGATTTTTGAGCATAATTAATCACACATGGTCTGCATTGGATTAAAAGGTATGTGAAATTTCTTTGGCTAAAGTCGTATATCATGTAACTATTTGCATGGAAAAAAATGAAGGATTGGTGAAACTGACATGACAAAACGAAGAGCTGAGAGAGTGCATTAACTTTCCCCAGGGGGAGGGTAGTAGAGGGAGAGAGACACTGGGATGGGGTAGGGATAGAATTGGCTGCCATCTCTTCACTTGAGGAGTCTCAATACCTCAAAGCTCTGGCATGAAGCAGTGACACATCTGCCGACACAGGTCTGGCTGGCAGAGAGTGGGCTTGGTGCAAGTGCCAGCAATTTTAAACATAAAATTTTGCAAAATGAGTCTTTTGGAAAAAATTTACTCTTCAAAATTATGGAAGTAACAAATACTCACAGCAGCAAAAATGAAAATTATAGAACATATAAGAAAACATCCCCTATAGTTTTCCACTCAGAGACAGCTACTATTAAATTTGTATGTGTTTTCTGCCAGTGTTTTTCTACATATTTGTGATGATGTGGACAATAGAATTTGTGGCCTATGTTGTTCATTTACCATTATATACCACAAGTAAGCTCCATTGTGGAAGATAGCCTACCATGACAGTGTACATTTTTCTACAAAGAACATGGATTGTTTTTGCAAGAAGAAAGAGAAAATGCCAATCCTCCCCACAAGAATTTATTAGCGAATCCTCCCCCCTTTAAAGGTATGTAGTATTGATTACATAGAGTGGCCAGGTCAGCACACGCAGAAGTTCAAATCACAGATACATCTTTAAAACTCTGGGTCCTTTCATTGGCTAGTATTGTTCATTACTTATACATAATATGAGAAAATATGTTGGGTGCTGGCACTCTGGGGGTGGGCACAAGGGAGACAGAGGAGCCAAAGCTGAATGTGGAAGGAAACCAGACTTCATAACAAAATGAACAACAACAAAAAGCTCTTGTAGAGACCAGTGAGGAAGAGAAGGAAGCAGAAACAGACAGAAACAAACACTAGGATCTGAGGTTCATATTTCTCAACTTGGAAGACAGAAACTTTTCATGACCTTAGACAAGACCCAGGGAGAGAAACAAGGCCTTCACCTAGGGGAAAACATCAGCAAAGGGAAACTGGTAGAAAATGATTAGAAGAGCCAAAGGAACAGCCCCTCTAGACCCCTCTAGACCCCTCTAGAACATTAGGTATAGTATAAAATATGTTTTCAAGATCTGCATCTCCATCTCATTCAGGCTCTCGATTCTAGTGGCTGTCGGAGTAGAGACAATGCAGTCCATGGTACTAGTTTGGCAAACAACCAAATAAGTAGAACCAATTAGGTTAGTTTCCCATTTCTTCTTATATTAACAAAAAAATTGGAAATGGAATTAATACTGCTGAGCTACAAATGCTTATAAAGCTTGTAAAAATTGAGTTTTGAGATGGTTCCAAACAGGATCTTAGCGTGGCAGACCCTGGGTGTGTGTAAGGGAAGCTGACCCTCTATTGGCTGTTATTTAATAGCACATGTGTATCTATATTGAAATCTCAAGAATGTGGCATGAAACACGAAGGAAAACGAAAAGGAGGAGGGAGAGAGAACCTTACAGAAAGCTCTTACCCTTCTGAAAATTAAGTTTTCAGCTTAATTTTTGTCAGGTCTCTCTGTATGCCCCAGGCGTTGGATGCTTCTGTGGACTCTTTTTTCCTTCCTTCTCTCTCTCTCTCTCTCTCTCCCTCTCTCTCTCTCTGGTGGGGGTCACCTCTCTTCCATACACTAAATGTTTACCACTGATTTGGTTTTGAAGTAACAGTGTTGGCAATAGAGAAATATTCCAAGAAGGGGATTGGGAATGTAAAGTTATTTGTGTCAATTTGGACTTAAATAGTTTCCCTTTTCTTCACTTTAGTGAAATCTCATTGTGGGTGCAGAGGTTTTAGAATTTGTTTTTGGAAGGAAAAAAATCGCTGACTTATTGGAATGCTACTGCGTGTTATGAGCTCAATTTGATTCTCTTATCAAGCGTGTTCTGCCTTTTATACTTGTGGTTTTATTGTTTGGGTAAAATTCTCATGGAATGTGAATGAAATATTTTGCTTTAAGTGAGACCACTGGAGTATCTATTGACAGACTTTTGTCCCATAAATTATAAGAAAGAACATTCGGGGATTTTTAGATGAATTGCTGTAGATTAGGAAACATGAAGGAACCAAAACCTTTTTGGAGGTGTACAGTATATCTCACTGTCTTTTCTTCTGAGTAAAATCCCATAAAACTGTGAAATTAAAAGCCCCAAGTCTAGAATGCTCTCTGGTTTAATGACAGTTCTACTGTTCTGCTTGTTATTTGCTCAAAAATGTAAAATAAAAAATAACTAAATAAAAATCAGCTATGGTTAGGAGTTGCTTATCTAGGTACTGTGCTACCCTATGGTTGTGTATTCTGCCTCCACACTGGAATTGAAGCTTTGCAATACTCAAGCCAGATCCCACATCCAGAGATGGTGATTTACATGATCTAGAGCAGAGCATGCATATTCAGAGTCCAAAAAGGGACCCAGGTGATCCTCAGAGGCTGACAAGGTTGAGAACTGTGACCAGATATTTTTGGGGACCTGACTTCCTGGAGTTTCGGGTTTTTATTGTAACTGAGAAATGGGGTTCTATTTTTATCTCAACTGATTGCAAAAGTAACTAATAGAGGCCTGTTTGTATTAGGTTTGCAAACCCTCAGTGATTGTCAGCATCCATATCATAGATTGTGGGAACGATGAAAACTTTGAAAAAAAAATTTCTCAACCACTTAAATAAGATGATGAAACCTTTAAAAATGTATGTATAAGCATTAAGATAGTAATTTGATAGTGAGTGTAATTTGCTGTCACAGAATCACTTATTGGATTTTGAGGTGAACAGAGTGGGATGAAGGGTGGGCTTGATGTTGACACTGATATCGTAAGGGCATTGTTGGGATACCTGACGTTTGGCATTAGCGCTATCCCACCTTTAGTACATTCTAAATTGCCTTTTTCTTTCATATAACAAACTGATTTAATCTCTGAAATGTAGTTGAGGGAAGGGAAAAAATAGGGAGTCCTTTCTTTGAACTCTAATTTTTTCCTTCTCCAAAATAAGATTCTCAACCTCAAATAAGCTAGCTTAGTGAATAAGTAAATTCCATAAATTCCATCCCCAAGGAACATTTTATTTTGATGTTTCAATCAAATGGTTATATATAAATTTCAAATAAGTATAAAATCTTAAGGAGACTATACCTCACTCATATGATAGGAAACAAATGAAAAGTATGAAACATATTCTGAAAATGGTATTATAAAATTTGTTTTATAGAAAGTTGAGTGACACCCAGATATTTCTTCCCATTTTCTTATGGGAATTTCATATAGGCATATACAAAAGAATCCCCCATCTCTGAAGGATCCTTGGTAGCCAGCTTGATTGCAGGGAGTGTATTTGTGGTAGTAGAGCCCTTTTTTTTTTTTTTTTTTTTTTAAATTGAGTATCCAGTGGTTAATCCCTTGGAAGGGACTTTAGGGCAATTAAGATTCTAATTAGCTTTCATGTCAGGCAATACAAGCTCTAACAGTTTATTGGGACAATTTGCTGTAACTTTTAGAGTTTGCCTAATTTGGAAAACTTTTTTTTTTTTTTTTTTTTTTTTAATGAACCATGGCCCCTTACTTCAGGCACGGGCAAGAAAGTCAGCGGAGTTTATGCCTCACTTTATAAGACTCTGCTGAAAGAAGGAATGTAGTTGAAGGGTATGGAGAAGTGATGTGATTGGATGTCAAACAAAATAACAACAACAACAACAACAAAAATTAGAATAAAGATGAAGTTAAAGGCATTTAGAACTTGAGGATAAAACTTTGAGTGAACCATGAGGATTCATCCAGGTTCTTGAGATTTGTCTGCCAATAAGGTTTCAGCTAATCTAAGATGGATTCATCTACCTCACAGGTGCCAAATGAGAGCTTTTCATTGGGGTCAGCTCTAGGGAATAGAGAGAATTTCAGTATATGATATTTTAATGTCTAATTACTTCCCTCAGACTCACATGATAACTTCACACAGTAAAAACCTGACCAAAAGGAAATGGAATTTAATGCTTGGCTGTAATCTCCGTATCTACATAAGGGACATAAACATTCATTTAGCATTAGTTCCACATTTAATGAACATAAGTTCCTCTTCTTTAAAAAATTTTAATAAATTATATTTTTAAGGAAAGTTTTAGATTTACTGTTTCAAAGATTTTCTTACTCTTCACCTAATTTCCTTTTTCTGTTGCTGGATCCCCTACTACATTTAGACTTCATGTTTTCTTAGGCTCTTTTTGTCTATGAGAATTTCTCACACTTTCCTTGTTTTTGGCCATCTTGATAGTTTTGAGAAATGTTGGTCATGAATTTTGTAGGATATTCCTTAACTGGGATTTTTCTGATGTGTTTTTTTCCCATCACTGAAGTGCGAGTGTAGGTTTCAGGAGGAAGACCACATCAGTGAAGAGCTGCTTTCATCACATCCTATTGAGTCCATTCTGTCAACATTATTAATCACCGTTGATGTTGACCTTGGTTACTTGGCTGTGGTAGTGTTTGTCCTTTTCTCTCCTGTAAAGTTACTCTTCATACTCCCTTTTCCACACTGTACCCTTTGAAAGGAAGCCAAATTATACAGCCTGCACTTAAGGAGTGGGGAGTTATCTAAATACTTCCTTGTGGGAGGAGTATCTACCTATATTATTTGGAATTATTTCACCTTTGAGAT